TAGCTCATTTTAGTTGACTAATATCCTTGCACAAATAAAGAACACAAATGAAGTAGCTCATTTATCTGCAGCTCCTTTATAGCTAAAAGCTATTAATGTTGTTAAGCCATATATCAGTTCCCAGGACACAACATCTAAGCACTTTGTTAAATGATGCCACAAACCTAATAATCAGATAGCAACAAACCACTGAAGTCCATTACTGGGAGCTAAGCTGCATTATGACCTTAAATCATTGCACCTGACACTAAACAAGTGGGAAGAGTGAAGTATTTTAAGCCCCTTTTTAAAATAAAACAAAAATACACTAGGAGGAAGAAATGCCACAGCAAAGCAGAAACACATGCTTATCCTATACAAGTTGTCACTACTTCAAGTGAGGGCTAGCAAATGCCAGGTGCAGAAAAATAAAACTTTTTAGATAAAAAAAATCATGTTGCATGGCAATGTGGCGAGGTGTTCAATGCTCCAATCTTATTATTAATTGTTTGTTTCTGTATGTATTATTTTGCAGCAAAATCCCTCACCTTCTTGCACCTGTGTTAAATTTCAGGAGCCCTTAAACTGAGTCCAAGCATTTCCACTGGAGGAACATGCYCCTCTGGTAAGAAGCACCAGGGAGGAAGGGATGCTCCTGCTGAACGAGCAGGAATGGCAGGAAGCATCTGTGAAGCCACGGCCTGAAGGGCTCTCCGCAGTACAAAGTTTATAAAGTCAGCAAGACCGACAAAATTAACAGCTACGTTTTGTCATACTGGCAGAACCTTATGCTAAGACAAATAAGGTTGTAGATGTGCACTGGACACTTGCAGGAAATAAACTACCTGGATTGCTCCGGGTAGATTTCATGGCTAATGATGAAAACAAGAAAAATTTGCTTATACAGTCATTAACCAAATTGCCCCCTTCATTTTTACTAAAAATAATAATAAAATTGGCTATTAGTTCAACTTCTGGCCTTACAAGAAAAATCCTCTTCCTTCTCCCCATTCATGCTACCTCTAAAAAACATATTAATTCAAAAAAAAAAAAGGTATAGAGGTGTGGAAGAGCTCTAGTTCTATCCAGCATTTTTAGTTCCACCCAATCTGAATTACAGCAGCATTCCTCAGCAAGGTGATGCCTGTGGCTACTCCGTTTTCATTTACATTCACGACAATCATGTTTCACTTGATATAAGGTTGACTCCGGGCTAGAAGTTTGATGGAGGAGCTGCTGTCCCCAACAGTCTGTCYCAAGGCAAGAGGTCACACTACACAGCAGCTTCTGTTGTTTATGAGTGGTCAATTTTTTACATCAGCTTTTTTAGGAATGCAACATGACGCTTGAAGGAGATTTACATATATACATATACGTATAAACATATATAGGTATATGTATATACGCATATTATGTACGTATATTCTGCAGATATGGTCCCAAGAAGCTCAGRTTTCTCTCTCTGAGAGATCCCTTCAGACTAAGATACTAGAAATTAATATTTCTATCAGCTAGAAGATATTGCAGGGTATGCGAGGTGTTTGTTTTTCGAACAAAAGAATGAAAAAGACTCTTTGTCCAAGGAAATAACAGAAACTAGAAGGATTCCTGAAGCAGATCCAGGGAAAAAAAAAAAAAAAACTCTAAATGCTATTTGATGCTTTCTAAGCACACAACAACCATCTATCCTTCTTATGCAGGATATCATTTGGATTTCATTAGCAAATTTAAAAATAGTCTTCAAATGATATCCATAATCTTGATGTTACTTTTGTTTTATTTACGAAGCCCAAAGGCTTGAAAGTGGAATCAATTGTCACTCCTAAAGGCGATTTTATCTTTAACTGACTTAACATCATACAAATGCAGTAAAGGCTTGGAGCTTCCAAATTTGGAGTTTCCAATGTTTCTAAAACACAAAACTTTGTCACTGAAATTGGAACATCACAGAACACAGTAACTTTTTTTTTTTTTTTTTTAATTCAAGGATTCAAGTTTTAAGCAGAACATTTTGAAAAAAAAGAATGAAAATGTTACATTATATATTAGAAAATGTATAATTTAGTTCACTTCACATATCATTAGGGAAAAAAAGAAAAGAAAAAAAAAGAAAAAGAACCACTAGCAGGATTACAGAAGAATTTCCTGGTGTCAGCCTGCTCAAGACTGACTGTGGACAAAACCATAACCAGAGAACGTGCAATTGGGATACTGGATGGCTGCTGAGCCTCATACTGCTTAGCTAGTTGCTAGATCTAATCTTATATTTGTAAATCATTTCCTTTAGTCGCACTGTCATGATATAGAAAACAAATTCTAATTTGACTAGCAGCACAAGACACAGCCCGAATGAAAACCAACTCTGGATGATGTTAGTAGTAACTGGACTGAGCAGTTTTGGTAAACTGTCCAGCCACTCCATCAAAACCCCACCTCAGCCCACAAAATACTAAGGATTTGTTCACTTTAAGTAACGTTCTGCAAGACTTCCTGCTGCAAGGATCATATTTTCTTCCCTACAGTAGCTATAACAAGCTCCTGTCGCTGAACCATGGATCCAGGGAACACGGTTCTTGGTTAATAACCACGTTTCTAGGTCACAGCAGGAAAATAAGTTTCAGGGAAACAGGAGAGAGGGGGAAATCTCTCCCTGACGGAGAAATCCCTCTCCCTCTCACGCAATATTTACAAAAATTACAATACTGTAGCAGGCATTCATTCGGTTTTAGAGAGTGGGGTAGTTTAAACCAGGTATGACACCCAAAACACACCATTAAGGCCAAAACACACCATTAAGGCCTGATTTTGCTGTCTCCTGAGCGCGAGCGAAGTACCCGCTGCAGGATCCTCTCCTCCACTGACCACACGTGGTGTCGCTGCTGGAGCATCTGCCCCGACATTTCCCATTTCAGTTCCTTGTGTTTCTGACTTCCACAATAAGGGACGGAGATTTGTCGCTGAGGTTTATTCGCACATGTCAAGAACAATGAACTTCAGGCTTTTACCCAATAAATCACCTTCTCACGATCACCATGCTTTCTAAAGGGAAGGGGAGGATGCACCTGAAGAATAAGATTAAAAACCTTTCAACATTCAGCAGCAGTTTGAAAGSACGTTGGTAAACACTTCACATATCATCCATCACAACTTGGTGAAATCACCCTGCATTCACACTGGGCTTCCCAGCAGCTCTTCCTTTACAAATACATTTTTCCATTTACTGAAAACAATCACGAGAATGAGTCATTTCTGTAGACTACAGCCCTTCACATACACCAGATGCCTCACGTTGCACGCAGTGAAATAAACTGATGCCTAAAGATTGCTGTATTTATTGCAGAAGTCTGTCAGCATTTTGCATCTTTCAAAAAAAAAAAAAATCAGAACATTCTGAAGAAAACATTTACCAAATGTCAAGATCTTAATACTGCTTGTAAAAATTTACTGTCACATTCCATARGAATTAACATCTAATTAGTTCAGCCACCAGCAGTTTGAGAACATCAGCTGAACAACAACCAAAATTTACTGTCTTTTAATGAGAAGCAATAACAAAAAAACTCAAAGCTTTAGAACTGAGGAGATAAGTTTTTCCTTATGTTTTTTTTTTAATTAATTCCAAGCTTTCATTTTCAGTTCAGTTGAAACGGTTTCAAGAATACATTTTTTTTTTTATAGGTTGGAGTGGTTATCGTTTTTTAAAAACAGTCCTTATACTAATTCCATAAAAGTCAACCCTCAGTAGCAAGCCATACTCAAAATTGACAAATAAAACTACTGACCCCCACCTTAAATCTCAGTATAACACGTAGAGTCTAGTGCACATATTAACAAAAAGAAAATGAAGGGAGAACTGAAATCAAGAAATCCACCCTTATGAAATGATGCAATTAAACTGCTGGGTGGGCTGTTCAACCAAATCATTACAAAACCTAAGGAAATAATTACGATTGCTTGGTTTTATGAAATTCATGCTTCTTTTCAATAAAGGAGGATAAAAGTGCAGCTCAATTCTATATTTGCTCCCTTGTACAGAGGTGTTTTGTTAACTGATTCAGCAGAATTACAGCAGCCAGACATTATTAGGAGTGATTTAAAAGAAAAGCACAAGCCTCTTGCTGAGTATTACATGTAAGGGCAGAACAGAAGGARGACACACTAAGAGGAAGACATAGATGCTACAGGTCCTAAATTATTGATAATCTCTTTGATACAACAGAAAGCAGTCCCAAAAAAAAAWTCCCAAAAAACAAATACAAGTAACTTTTATAACATCTTACTAAATCATTTCTTTACCCTACAAGCATATGTGGCAATCGAAAGCATTTAAAAGTAAAAATGAACCACAGGAAAAAGAAGTGTTTAACAAATTTCTAATTAGATAAGTATGCCAGATACCAAAGGAAGACACTACTATAGAGAAGAAAACACAAGACACGTTCAACAGTCTGAAGTGAACAAGAGCATTTAACGTCAATTAATTTCAAACAATGACTCCATAATTATTTCAAGTGTTTCTCACACATGCACATATTTTTTCTGAAGTTAGTTGTAATCTAGAAATAATCTAATTGTAAAAATCTAAGCAGCAGTGCAGCTGTGTATTTTAAGTCTTATTTCCATAAGTACTGGAGGAGCCTATTTTTACTCTTACTCTCATTCAGAATACTTAAAGAGTCAGAAAACTATTCTGATGGGATTACACAGCCTACAGATGCTATTTTCACAGAAAAGGGAAGAAAAGATCCCCAGAACAAGCGCAGCAGTTACAGACGCTGACACAAACTCCATCTCCAGCATAATAAACGTCATCAGGATTCTCTTCAGGAAAGCTGCAGTGGCAAAATGGTAATAATTGGGCTTAATATAGTTCAAAACCCAGTTACAGTAACTACACGCACCACAGCAGAGAACAGCAGGTAACGAGCATTCGCTTAAGTGAACCATAATCAAACTGCAAAATATTTCTGATTCACAGGAGAYCACTCAGAAGATCGAATTCCTGCCAGGGCTGCGCTTACCTTTCTTAGCAGCATCTGCTCTGCGTCTCGCCGGCGACACCAGATCCTTTACAATCTGCAGCACTTGAATCATTGCTCCTTAGCAGCAGCAAAGGAACCCGACCCTCCTCGAGAATTCCAACAGGTTTCATCACTGCACATTATTACATGGCCGTCTCGAACGTGCTCGAGCAAAACGGAGGAGAGAGCAGCTCCTCTACCTCTGCGAGAAAGATTTCTGCCTGGCTCTGCAGGCTGGAGTGATGGATTTAAAGTGACTTCAGCACATGGAGAAAAAAAAAAAAAACACACACACAAGCAGTCCGAAGTGGATTTCTACAGCCCCTTTTTGGGCTATTTATCGAGGAGAACGCATGCTGATTTTTCTACAAAGTTTAAAGGAAATATCTGCACCACAAAGTGACGGAGGAGAAAACCCCTCTTGAAATGAAAGCTGATGGAAACGGCACAATCCCCCGGGGCTTAGGAGCTAAGGAGCAAGTCCACACCTTGCTTTGAAAATTCATCAGTTGATACGTGTTTTATGTAAGGTTTTGAGGGCGCTGCTGGTGCACACCTGCTAGAGGAGGCACCTGGTGCTTTTCCTCCATCACTCCTGTAGGTACCCAGCCTTCCTCTGCCTCGGGATGGAGGCCGGGAGCCCCAGGAGCATTTCAGAGGCTCCGAGAACATCCTGAACCAAGGTGTTATCACCTCTGGCAGGTGATTTTAACGAGCAGATTGCAGTACGTGCCCAGCACCACCTAAATGCTGCTCGGAGGATGCGCAGACACTCCAGAAATCCCTTCTGTCAGGGTTTGCGGACAAGAACAACATGAAGAATCATGTTTTATACATTTGTGTTAAGAAACTGTCAGCTCCGAAGAGCCTCTGCGAATGTTTTTGGAAAGTGCATGTTGTGAGGCCTCCTCGKCACAAACAGAGCAATTTCGGAAGCCAATGACATTTTCCAGGAAAACCATAACATCGGAGCAAACCGCAGGCTGCAGGGGAGGCCCAGCAGGCCGCACGCTCCGGCCTTTAGACCTTCTGTTCCCGTTGCTCCAGTGTCGGACGGGGGCAGAGACGTCATCTCTTCCCATTCCCAGCTGCAGATCGCAAGCGCTTGGGGGTTGAGTTTGCTGCCCTGCTTATCCACATGCATGTCAGCCTCCTGAAACATATTCGGACCCAGCAAACTGCTTCGTTATATCAGTCTCATTTCTGTTTTGCCCATTAATCTGTCCCTGCCAGAAATAATACTATTCCAGAGCGTGATCATATTTCGTTTGGCAAAACAGAGGACTCAAGTCATTAGCTCCAACAAGCTGTCGCGTTTCTTCTCCCCCCCAGCAAATATTGAGTGTCTACTCAATAGGAAGCTTAGAGATCATTACAGTGCARCTGGATTTTATCCCTTCCTGAAAAAGCTTCCTCAAACTGTTTGAAATTGAGCTTATAACTCTCGATATTAGAGTTATTTCTAAAGCCTGTACTTAACCTTAAATTCCAGGTTTCAGGCAAATGACTTAAAGCTAAAGACAGAATTTTAAGGAATGCCATTATTTACTGTGAAATTGCATTGGAAATTTATTTTAAAATTTGACCAAGTTGATGGTTCACCAAAGATTTTTATTTTTACACCACTACAATCTTTTTCATGGTCTTTTTATGTAAAAATGTTAGAATAAAAAAAAATGGGAAGCAGAAAGGTAGGATAGAGACTCCTAATAACAACACACACTTTGCCAACTAATGCATGAGTACACCTTGCAGATTAGGAAAGTTATATATAATTAAACTAAATAATCTATATCTAAATTTCTCAAATGTTGGAATAATTGAAGGCTGGTGGATTGCCAAACAGCAGCACAGGTGAAGAAAGAAAGGAATACAAGGTATATTCGGTACTCATTCTTGTGTTAAAAGTATTTCCATATGCTGAGAATGAGCCATACTGATTGTAAAAAGGAAAAAAAAAAAAAGTTGTACTTCAATAGGTAAGAATTAGCATCTAGGAAAGATTAGGGCTATTCTCTATTGCATAAATGGAAGCTGTTCCCTTTTTGTTGAAATTCCTGGTCCTGCTGTTAAGAAAAAAAAAAAGACCACCTGGAACCGGGTTTTTAGATGATTTGCAGGTTTACTGGATTATGAAGGGAATGCAAAACCAGCACCTACTGATGTTGGCAAAAAAGCCATTAAAAAGGCTAAATTTTAGCCCATGGTCAGCAATCCCCCTCTCTTTCCTGGTCATATTTCAAATAGCTGAAGCCTTCTCTGAGCACTGAAGGGAGATGTACAAGGACTTCTGAACTAGAGTGTTTCCATTTACACCTCCGTCCCCAGCACACAGTAACCTGCAAAGGTTAATGCGGCTTCTCCCTCTTTTTCATTAGAAAAACTCTACTGTAAGGGTGGAGAAAAGAAAATTTAAAGCTTTAAAGTGATCTTAGGAAACTACAAGTCATTGAACACCTTGTTTGCAAGGAGCACACAGAGGAAGAAAAGAGTTTGAGTGTAAAGCAGGACCATTGCTGTTCATGTTAAACCACCTAAGGAATAATTCAGATAAATTACTCAACTGTTGAGCCAAACAGCAAGTTTTGTGGCTGCTATTTCACTTTCTCCAAAGCCATTCTTACACCTAACCATGACTCTTGGTTTAAGAGGCTGCTGCGCTAGATTTTGTCATTTTTACTATAGAGAAAAAAAAAAAATCAAAGAACAAAACACAACTAGCCAATCCACATATCTTCATCCTTCAGTCATCAGCAGTAATGTGGTTACAGTTTACACTGGCTCACCTTTGAATCATGAAAATTAATAGGTATTTCCAGGTAATTCGACACCACAACCACCCACTTCCAGGTCACACTCCCTACCCGAAACTCAAGCAGCAAGCGAGGATCTTCACTGAGCAGAAGTTCACAGCAATTATGACACAGACACACAAAGGAAAACCAGGAAGAAACAGCAGTGAGATCTTTACAAGTGCAATAGTTCAGCAGTGTTCTGTCCAATAAACAAAACTGAAAAGTAGTGTCACCTACTCACCATGAGTTAACTAAGAAATACACTCTTCATGGTGTGTTGGGTTTTGCTTTTTTTCCTTTAACTTGAACGGTGAAGAGAATACAGAAATGATACGTAAGTTATCGAGTCAATGAAATAAGGTGGCATGTGCAGGAGCAGTTAACCAGGAAGGGGTTTTATGGAGCACTGTGTGCAGCCTTGGCACTCTCCAAACCATAATAAAACAAATCCTGACTAGTCAACCGTCATCACTCAAACCCAAGATGCTTCCATTAACGTAATTACAATTAGCTGGTCTTTGAAAGCAGTTATTTTTTATAAAGGACATTGCCAGGAGGCAACATATAGCACAAAAGACACTGCAAAACTATGGTTCAGTGAAATATATGTCACACACCACTTGCAAGAAAATGAACAAACAAGAAGATCAGAAATTCAGCTTTTAGCAGGCTTTTAGAAGAAACAACCAGAATCCTCCTAGCAATCTCAGGCAGCTCCCTCACCRGCCCCCAAAAAATTACGTGCCTGTGTCCTCATTTACAAAAACATATACAATCTATTAAAAAAAAAAGTGCAGACTTACTGTTCATATGAATGAATGCCCTCAAGCCTTTTTAGTTATTCTTTTTAGACACAAAGTTATTCTGACATGCTTCCTCCATCAGAGGACCAGAATTCAGGCCACACACAGGTTCTGGCCCAGCTCTGCACAAACCTAGGCCAATACATCTTCAAAAATGCACTTTGTGCTTCCCTAAACCAGGACATTATTAACATCCTTTTTCCTACCTAAAAACCAAAAATGAGTCCCACACCAAGCTTAAGACCTGACAAATTCAAAGTTCAGGGACTGCAGCAAAACAGGCTGAGACATAGGGAAATTCCAGGGATTTCCAGAGAAGCAGAAACCATCTGCAAATCTTGCTGTCACTACCCAGAGAGCAGGCAAGTACAGTACCACGTAGGAAAGACTCCATCTGATATTTGTTTAGTTCTGTGAAAGAGCAAAGTCTGACATTAGGAGCAGCAGAAGGGGATTTACGGGAGTGGGTTCCACTTGCTCTTTGGCCTCTTCTTTCTACATCCGTGAGACACAGACAGAGCTTAAACCCATTACAGAGTCAGAAGGACTATTCATAACAAGGCTATAAAAGTCAAGTATCGTTAGCAGCAGAAGCAGCTGTTCTTAATGACTAATTTAAATGTTTGACTTAAAAGCTAGTTTCACCAACCACACATAGCAGCACAGAACTTCCTCCTCACTTAACAAAGGAGATTTTCACTCAGAAAATGAAGCAGATTTTTTATTTTTTATTTTCTCATATATATATATTTATATTTTAACCAGGAGCAATAAATGTTTTTCAAGCAGGAAAAGGTTTTCAACATTCTGTTAGTTTTAAAGGATTTAGGAAACAAAAGTAAGGCACATGACTTTGGAAAAAGTCCTTTAAACCTGACACTTAAATTCAAATCTGTTGAGGAACAACACATTTTAAAAACATTTGCATAGTAAATCTGAGGTAAAAAACATACCTTTTCTTGCAAAACAAAGACGTATTCAGATACTGTGTGTCTAGCAATGAAGTCACTGGCTTACCACAAAAGAGAAGTTAAGTGTCAACAGAAGCATTTTGTTTTGCAACAGTCCTCTGTGACTTGTCGCATTTGGTCTTCAGAGGAATATCTCAAAATAAACAGGCACTGAGCTCAGAGACAGGCAATACATCACGATACAAATCACTGTTAGAAGCAGCTGTCACGTAGGCTGTCTACCTTTTCCCAGTGATATTTTGAATTAATTTTCCAATCTGTGAACTAAAACCTACAGTTCTCATTGACTACATTTAAATAATCCATGGTAGCCAGAAAAGGAGAAATCGGGGGCTTCCACAAGGCTCTGGAACTTAATTCTGATTCTCCTATTTTCCATAGACTATTCTTGGACAGAAAAGCATTAAGAGGATGATGAGAAAGATAAAAGAAAATCTCATGTCCTGAAGAAATCACACCTGAAATTCAGGCAGCCTTTGCTGGTAAACTGTTGGCACTGGTGATATATCCCAGTGTAAGATTTTATTTTTTTTTAAGGAAACTGCTTTGCAGTATGTGGTTTGCA